CCTCTCTCTCTGCCCCTACCCCGTTCATGCTCTGTCTCTCTCTGTCCGAAAAATAAATAAACATTGAAAAAAAAATTTTTTTTATTTTAACTTTTTTTTAATGTTTATTTATCTTTGAGAGAGAAAGAGAGAGAGAGCGCATGCGTGTGCGCTAGTGGGGGAGGGGCAGAGAGAGAGGGAGACACAGAATCCGAAGCAGGCTCCGGGCTCTGAGCCATCAGCACAGAGCCCTATGCAGGGCTCGACCTCACGAACCATGAGATCATGACCTGAGCCTAAGTCGGACGCTTTACCAACTGAGTCACCCAGGCTCCCCAATTTTTTTATTTTAGAGAGAGTGAGAGCAGAGAGGGGCAGAGGGAGAGAGAATCTTAAGCAGACTGCACGTCAGCACAGAGCCCGACGCGGGGCTCAATCCCACAACCTTGGGTTCATGGCCCGAGCCTAAATCGAGAGTCGGGCACTCAACCCACTGAGCCACCTGGGTGCCCCTATTATGTATTTTTTTAAACGTCTGCCTTCCGCATCGGACCCTGGTGTTGGAGGGCAGCTGATCTGATCACCAGACTGGCGTGGCACCTGGACTACGGTCAGCTGTCAACCACTTTGTTTAATGAACGAAGGCATTCGGACCGGCAAGGTCAGTGAGAACCTCCCGGAATGGCTTTGCTGTTTCCGCAGAGGGGAGCCCCTGACCCGTATGGGTCTGTAGAATGTGACCGCGTCTTGAACTCGAGGAGGAAGATGGACCTTAGATGTTAAACGGTAGGCTCTGTGCTTAGAGATTCTATCTGCGACCCGCGTTCCTCCTGGTCACGTTCACTGGGACCCCACGGAGGCAGTCAGGCCGCGGACTGTCCACGGTGCCTGCCAGCATCCCCCATTCTGGGGCACCAGCCAGCCCCCCAGCAGCGCTTGGCCAAGGACTCCAGACCGTAGGACCCATCGAGGTGGGAAGTGGCCGAGAGTTGCACTTGGCAGAATGAGGGAAGCCTGTTGTGTTTCTAGTTAATCGTTTACCTGGAAGAGAATTAAAGAGGAAAACTGTTTATCAATTTTCTCCTTCCTTCCTCCTTCCCTCCCTCCCTCCCTCCCTTTCTTTCCTTCTCTTCTTCCTCCCTCCCTCCCTTTCTCCCTCCCTCCGTTCCTTCCTCCCTCCCTTCCTCCCCCCCTTTCTTTCTTTCTCTTCTTCCTTCCTTGCTCCCTTCCTCCCTCCCTGCCACAAAATCAAACAATAGAACAGTCCTAGGGGAGTGGTCTTTGTTTTGTTCTCCACTGTATCCCCAGCACTTAGAACCCTGTCTGGATGCTCCACATGTTGAAGTGAGTGCGTCTCCGGTGGGGGTGTGTGCGCGTGGATGTGCCTACTTGTGCACCCCCGGCCTTTAGAAATCACAGGACAGCGCGGCAGAAGCCCTGGAACCCGCTTTCTCTCCTGGGTGCCATCGCCCCCACTTTTGTCACCTGCGCCCCACGCCGGCTCCGGGGGATGGTGGGGACGAAGGGAGACTGGAAACCAGAGCCCAAGGCTCATACCTGGCTTACCAGAAACTTTCTGCTGAATTAACCGTCTTTTAAAATGTTTATAAGAGAGCGCGAGTGAGCAGGGGAGGGGGCAGAGAGAGAGGGAGAGAGAGAGAATCCCACACAGGCTCCGCGCTGTCAGACCTCAATCCCACAGGCCCTGAGACCCCGGCCTGAGCCAAAATCGAGTCAGGTGCTTAACGGACTGAGCCACCCAGGCACTCCTGAATTAGCCATTCGTCAATCCTTTTGGTGGGGGGAGGAGGAGGGTGAGGTTTCATTTATTGGGGGCTCCTGTTGTGCAGAGGGCTAACCAGCTCGGGCTCCCCAGAGCACCACAACAAGGCAGGAAGGACCACCGGCTCTCTGCCTGCCCTGGTCCTCACTTACCCCTCTGCAGAGCTCGTACCCTCTTTGGATTAGGCGGGGGGGGGGCACCCAGAGGAAGACCTGAGGCCCTGCCCCGCCGGTGGGGGGGAGGGCACGTGTCCCCTGGACTGGGCCTCCGTGGGAATACGTGCGTGAAGGTGCTTCGGCGGCCGCCTCCGAGAGCCCCATCCAGGCCCCAGTCAGTGGATTCACCTCCACGGCTAATCGCTCTCGCAATTACACCTTGCAATGGCTCTGAGGGAGCGTTATGACCCTCCTTTGGAAGATGAGGAAACTGAAGACTGTAGCAATGAAGCTAGAAAGTGGCAGTGGACACATGCGAGATGAAACCTGCAGATTCCAAGAGAAAAGCTTTTTTCACTTCGATTTTTCTCCGGCTTTCCGTGACTTTGCTAACGACCTTCCTCTGGTCGTCGAAAAGATTGCCTTCTGTGCGTACTCAGTTTCCTCGTGGGTGAAAGGGGGATGTTAGCACAGAATGCATGTGTGTGAGAGGCCCCAGAAATCTGTATTTAAATGTTTTCCCCGGGCACCTGGGTGGCTCAGTCGGTTAAGCGTCAGCTGTCGATTTCAGCTCAGGTCATGGTCTCACCCTTTTGTGACCTCGAACCCCACGTCGGGCTCTGTGCTGATAGCGTAGAGCCTGCTTGGGATTCTCTCTCTCTCCCTCCGTCTCTCTCAAAATAAATAAACAAACTTAAAAAAATATAGATTTTCTCACCCTGCCTTTCATCTGTTACAGCAAAAGTCCAAAGGCTAAAGGAAGTTAATCAGAGGCCCTAAATAAACGATGAAAACTTTCCCATTCTGGGGCACCCGGGTGGCTCAGTTGGGTTAGCGTCCGAATTCAGCTCAGGTCATGATCTCTCAGTTCATGAGTCCAAGCCCGGTGTCGGACTCTGTGCTGACAGCCTGGAGCCTTTTTCAGATTCTAGGTCGCCCTCTCTCCGCCCCTCCCCCACTCATCCCTTTGTCTCTCTCTCTCTCTCTCTCTCTCTCTCTCAAAAATAAATAAACATTAAAAAAATTTTTTTTCCCATTCTCTCCTCCCCGATTTTTAGGGGACTTTTGTGTTCAAGGCAGTACTGAGTGCATTTGCTACGGTCAGCAAATACAGCCACACGTCAGGAATGTTACGGAAACAATTCGGACATTACAGTGTTGGAGGAAAGGACCCTTCCGGGTCTTTCTGACCTAGCGATTCTCATCCCCCCACCCCCTTCCTGCCAATCAGTGGGACATGTATAGTGCCTGGAGAACTCTGCATTGTCGCAGGCAGGGGAGGGACGGCCCTCCAGTGCATATAGGACAGCCCCCCAGGGCAAAGAATTAACTGGCCCTAAGTGTTGGGGTTGAGGGAATCTTTTTTTTTAAGGTTATTTATTTATTTTAAGAGAGAGAGAGAGAAAGCACTGGCAGGGGAGGGGCAGAGAGAGCGAGAATCCCAAGCAGGCCCCGCACCGTCAGCGCAGAGCCCGACGCGGGGCCCGAACTCACGTGAGCCTGAGCCGAAGTCAGACCCTTAACCAACTGAGCCTCCCAGGAACCCGGAGGGAAGCTTTTCTGCCAGGTTAGATGGTAGAGGGTAGGCATGGGGCACACTCGAAAGGCTAAGGATCTTCGGATTCTCTCCCGTGCTTCTAGAAGACTTCAGGGTAAAGTAGGGGTTCTCGTGAACCGCAGCTGCTTTCTGTGACCTAAGTCAGGATCTCTCCTCCCGCAGAGGCTGACGCTTGTGCTTGGCCTGGCAACGCTGATTGCTGCCTTTGGGTCATCCTTCCAGTATGGGTACAACGTGGCCGCCATTAACTCCCCTGCCCAGGTAGGTCGTTGGGGTGCATGAGACACGCCCCCCACCCCCTGTAAACGGGAGGGGGTTTTGGAGCAGCCACCAAGGTGGCAGTGAGTGCACACTGGTGCACACAGTGGGTCTTCAGGTAACAGGGACGCACGGCCCAGGGCCTTGGGGATGAACCTGGCCCCGGCTTCGGCTTCTCATGGAGCGCCAGGCCTGGCTGGGTGCCCCGGGGTTGGCCTCGGGGGTGCGGCTGGGGGCTCTGGTCTTCTGCGGCCTCGTGCTCCCCAGACGAGTCTGGAGGGTCAGGGGTCATGCAAAGGAACGGAGGACTGGAGTTCACAACATCCTGGGCCGCGTGCACGTCGGAGGCCCGGACAGCCCTCCCTGCGGGCGCCCCTGCTAATTGCTTGGTCCCTACTCCCTTTCTTCCCCCGACTGGTGTTGACGTCTCGGGCCCCGGTCATCCAGCGGGCGGCCTGACCGCGTAGGCGCTTCCGTCTGCAAAGCCGGGTCCAGGTACACGGGCGCTCTGCTCTGCTTTGTTCTGCAGTTCATGAAAACGTTTTACAACAAGACCTACTATGAGCGGAACAATGGCTACATGGACGAGTTTGCCTTGACGTTGCTGTGGTCTGTTTCCGTGTCCATGTTTCCCTTCGGAGGCTTCGTCGGGTCCCTCATGGTCGGCCCCCTGGTGAATAACTTTGGCAGGTAAGGAAAGGTGCGTTTCCAACTCCTGTAGCTCCCAGACCCCATCGGTTTAAAACGCAGGCCTCAAGCTGAAATCGTCCGTTTGTAAAACTAGGTACTAACCGCTGTGATGATTGCTGATGTCTCTTATGGTCTTAAGAAGACCAGATGTTGACCTGGGGACGCAGCAGGGTCTCGGGGTGACAAGTGGGAGTGATGGGTGTCAGAATCCCGGGGCAGACCCAGAAAGACCAGAAAGTGCTTGGGAGGTCAGAACTCCCTCTCTCTGTTCTCTTGCCCTACGGGTCTTTTCCTTACCAGAAACCAAAACCAAGTTCTGCCCTCTTCGTTTGTTTTTTGTTTTTGCCTTTATTTTATTTTTTTAAAGATTTTTTAAAGTTTATTTACTTTGAAAGAGAGGGTGTACGTGAGTGGGAGCGGAGGAGGGGCAGAGAGAGAGAGAGGGAGAAAGAGAATCCCAAGCAGGCTCCGTGCTGTCAGCACGGACGCGGGGCTCGAACTCACAGATCGTGAGATCGTGACCTGAGCCAAAACCAAGAGTCAGACGCTTACCGACTGAGCCACCCAGGCATCCCCCCCACCTTTTTTATTTGCCTTTAAAAGAGTCAAACACCAGATAATATGGCCAACGTGTCAATCCTGATGTAGATCATAAGTGTTCTTAAGCCCTGCCTCCCAAACTAACACAAACTCACTACTCTGTTCTTTCACCTCGGGATCAAGTAATAGGCAAAATTGGGTCCAAATTAAATGCCTGTAAAACCCTGAAATGGCTGAGATTAATGTGAGGCACTCGACTGTGAAATCCTGTAGACCCAGGACACCTCTCACCGTGAGTGTTCTGGATGTCAAGGGCTGAGCTTGTATCTTTGCCCCCAGTTCCAGAAACATTAGAGATTCTCGTTCCATAGTTGATTCCAAAAAAGGTCCTTAAGACATCACACCCCCTTGTGTAAACTCCATGGGCATGAGAGAGAGGCCTTGTTATGAACAGTATTAAAGAGCTCCTCCCCACCAGCCCTTTCCCTGGGCAGATGAGCACACAGACGCCGGCCGGGTAAGATCTCTTCTCGCCACAGATCTTGCTAGGTCGAGAATCAACCCACTGGCTTCTCCAGTATTTTTCAAAAAGAGTCTGAAACTAGCAACATACAACCTCGGGTTTGGGAATCTAAGATCCTAAGGCCTTCCTGGAAGGTTGGTGTTGAACTCAACAGTTCTCCCTAGGGTCCCCGGGGACCAGGACATCAAATGAGGTCACAGATCTGCAGGACAAGTCTCCTCCGAGTGAAGGACTTACCATTTTGGTCCACGGAGGCAACGGACAGTCACTTGTCCAGCTTTCTGCTTTGGAATGTGATAAGTTTTTGGGGCGCCTGGGAGGCTCAGTCAGTTGAGCATCTGACTTGGGCTCAGGTCATGACCTCTTGGTTCGTGAGTTCGAGCCCCGCGTCGGGCTCTGGGCTGACAGCTCGGAGCCTGGAGCCTGCTTCGGATTCTGTGTCTCCCTCTCTATCTGCCCCTCCCCTGCTCACACTCTATCTCTCTAAAAAATAAACATTTAAAAAAAAAAAAAAAGAATGTGATGAATGTGTTTTTCTGAAGAATCTGTTCCTGAAATAACAGTAGCAACTAATAGTTGACTGATGGGTTGACTTTAGGGTTATTAATTCCCCTAATCCCTACAAAAGCCCCATCATCTCCTTTTTTAAAATGAGAAAACAAGGCACAGAGAGATGCTGTAACTTACCCAAGATTATACAGCTGGGAGGAAATTTCACCCCCCTGCATGTCCCGAGTAACTGTTATTTCAGGCAAGTATCTTAATCTGTTGCCTTATTTTTAATCATATCCATAGTATCTTTTTCACACGAGATGTTTAAACGTTCGAGTGGGCAGATTTAACTCTCAGTTACGGTTCTTGGCTTTTGCGCCTGAAGACAGCCTTCCCTACCTGGAGTCCCACGGATAGCCTTCTATAGTTCTAAAAATAATGTTACAATTCTGTGTTTCCCAGGGAGATCTGGCGTTTTATCTGGTGTGGCCTTTTAACATTGAAAGATTCGCATATATGCTGTTGAATTCGATCTGCTACTATTTCGTTTAGGACTTCTCCCTCTATGTGGTCTAAGTGGGGTTGGCGTATGAGATCCTTCTGTCATTCCCTGATCTGGGCCGCAGGATTACACTAAAATCATGCGAGCGTATGGTTTCCGGAACCCGTCAGGGTATCGTAGCAGGCGGCCCTCGTCCTCTGCTCCCCACCGCTGACGTGCTCTGCACTGTGGTCATTGCCGTTGGCTCCCACAGAGAATGTTCCCGCCGCAGGCTGTGCACTTGACCTCCATCGGTCTCCATCACAGCGTCAAACAGCAGCAAAGGCCGCTGCTGTAGCCGGGCAGACCCTTGGCAAACATCTGTGAAGACAACAGCTGAACCCTTAACCCAAACTAACTGAGATTTCGTCCTCGGCAGGAAAGGGACCTTGCTCTTCAACAACATCTTTTCCATAGTGCCCGCCGTCTTAATGGGGTGCAGCAAGGTCGCCGGGTCTTTCGAGATGATCATTTTGTCCAGACTTTTGGTGGGAATATGTGCAGGTAAATGGTGCTACGTGCGACGCCTCTGTCATTCAGGATAATCGAGGAGGAGGGGGAGGCGGGGGCAGACGCCGGGGTCTGGATCGTTCTGGAACCGCTGAAGCACATAGACACGAGCTGTTCCTCTGTCCTGACGCTTCTCAGATGCAGTCAAGGGACCGAGCTTCGCTGTGATGCTTCCTGCAAAGAGAGCTGTTCTGTGAAAGACAGAAATCCAGAGTCCTGTTCGCAAGGGCACTTCCTTTCCTTTCTTCTCCTTTCCTTTCCTTATCTCCATGTTTTCCAAGCCATAGGTGGGGCCAGTGAGTGGGTGGTGCCCCTGATTAGTGAGCAGCTTTTCCTTTTCTTTTTCTCTTTTTAAGTGTGTTTATTTATTTGGGGGGGGGGGGGGAGGGGCTCCTGCCCGAAGCGGGGCTCGAACTCACGAACCGTGAGATCATGACCTGAGCCGAAACCATGAGTCAGATGCTTGATGGACAGAGCCACCTAGGTTCCCCAGCATTTTCTTTTTCTAGGCAGAGTGTAGATTGTGTCGTGTGCAGTAGGGGTAAGGGTGGTCTTCTGAAACTTGTTTCGGTGACTTATCCGTATACGTGGGTGAGAACCAGGTTGCAACGTTAAACGTGTCTCCCCGTTTTTACCGTGGGTCGTGGTCAAAAACGCATGAGAAACGATCTAATGTAGGAATCCCTCCGCCCAAGAAGAGTTAATGATAGCAACCTGTCACCTTCTAGAGGGAACGTGAAGTTTGCAGAAGGATTTTTAGGGGTTCTTTTCACCTATTCCTCCAGAGTCCACCTGCTGAAGAGGGTAACACTCACTCGCCTGAGGTCTCTGGCCTCGTAACCCCCGGAGCTGCTTTGCAAACCCTCCAGAGCTATGGTCCCCCGGGGCCGCACTCTGGTGGTCGTAGAAAACTCCCCCGTGATTCCTTCCGACCGAAAAGATGTGGTTAAAGCCACGCCTGTGGCCTTCCCCCGACGTGGCATTCTTTTGTAGACTGTGTTTCCCAGGGCTGGAGGGGGCAAGTGGGACACCCGCCCTCGGGGCCGTGCACCTTCAGGGTGGGCGCCCCCAACGGGCTGCATCCTGGGCGCCTCGTCAAGCAACCCTGCACCCGGCCCTGGCATTGGCAACCAACTCTCGTTTTCTGCTTCCAAACACAGGGATGGGGTGAGCGGATGATTTGGCCTGATGTCCGCAAACCCCTCAGCTGGCCCTCCTGGGCGGTGGGGGAGAGGGCGAGGAGCCCGGTGTCGGGGGAGATGGCAAGGAATTGTGAGGCTGGGGGACAAAAGAGGAAATCAGCCTCCCTGAAGAGAGAAGAGGTCATGTCCCGGAGGGAATGATGGGCCCCATGGCAAGCGTCGCCCTACTGCTTTCCCTGAGAGCGCCTGGACGGGTCTCTGCCGCCTTGGTCTGGCCCTGCTCCCGCCTCCCGCCTCCCCCTGCAGCGGGGCTCCACTAATAAAGAATAGACGATTCTGGGGCGCCCGGCTGGCTCAGTTGTTCAGCGTCTAACTCTTCGGCTCACGATCGTGGTCATGATCTCACGGTTCGTGAGTTTGAGCCCTAGCGTCAGGGTCTGCACTGTCAGCAGAGGCTGCCTGGGATTCCCTCTCTCTCACTCTCTCAAAATAAATACATTTAAAAAAAGGAAAGAAAGAAAAAACAAACGATTCCTGGAAGTCACTGGCAGAGGACAGGTGCAGGCAGGCACTTTTCTCTTGACCGTCCAGCACTCCAGAGTTGGTTCCCACAGGGAGATATTAGGCTCCAATAGTTAACAAATCACCAAAACCCCAACCTTACTCTTAAACAAGCATTACTTCTAAGTCCGTGGTTCTCAAACTTTTTGGCCTCAGGATCTTCTTTTCTTTTCTTTTCTTTTCTTTTCTTTTCTTTTCTTTTCTTTCTTTTCTTTTTTTTTCTTTTCTTTTCTTTTCTCTTTCTTTTCTTTTCTTTTTTTTCTTTTCTTTTCTCTTT